AAATAAAAAAAAAAAAACATATACAATTGCAACGCAAGTCATATTGTAATTGAACGTTATTAAAAATGACCTTTCCTTTTCAATCTGCAGCGCTGTATTTTTATAATTTTTTTTAAATGCGATGCAATATGGCTAAATGGAGGCGCTCTGTACACAGATGATGTACAGAACACCTTCTGAAAATGTGAATTCCTTGTGCGATTGGCTCACTGATTTTCCCAGAAGTCTGCATTTAGATACAATTCAAATTTTTGGCATCCCCTGCAACAAAAAATCCCATTTTTGTTGAGATACTTCCAAAGGGAAATCACGTCTAAAGGGATGCAGACCCTGCCAATATCCTCATTATAGCCCTGCAGGTACAGCAGCTGTTTGACAATTATAAAACCACTCCTATACAGATTCACTCTGCACATGGACACAAACAGCTATTTCTTCAGAATAACAAAAGGTGGGAATCTGCAACGTTTGGTAAAACCCTTTCATGTACAGAGATCACTCAAAGGGGAATGTTTTTTTTTTTTTGTTTTTTTTTTCTCAACAAAAGTGGAGTTACTCTTTTAAATTTATTTATATTGTTAGCTGAACATGTCAAATTGATGAATGTAAAGGACCTCGGTTAGGTACAAATGATTGGCCCTGGATGTATAGGATTGAGTCCAAGGACAATCCTCTGGGTGGATTTGATTTAAATCGTAATTTAACTGACTATGGAAAAGGCTCGATTTAATCATATCATTTTTAAAGAGCGACTGTCATCTCTGTCCCACAGCGGCTCCTCCTCTGACCCGCTGTTGTCTCACCGACAGTCCCATTCACTTTAATAGGATGGCTGGTGATACGGCAGGGACACAAGGTGAGGGACGTGGCGGCAGCAGGAGACTGGATGCCCGCTAACAGGCGCTGCCATGATGGATCTAAAATGACAGGTTCTCTTTAAATGTAAGGAATCCGACTCATTCTTGCTGGTAGTTAGAATCTTTAATATTTGCAAACCAAATGAAGGTTTCCTTTTTAGAATAATAAGCTGTCAGGTTAGTAAAACAGCGATATCAGAACCGATTTTAGGTTAACAGGTTCATCACACATAGCTGGAGAACGACTCAGATCTTTTATTTCATGTTTTTTTTTTTTTCATGGTTACTGTGAAATTATGTGAATGCATCAATGCAGTGCATGTTATCTCAGCTTGCAGAGCTTGGATTCATTGAAGGAGTTTACCAAAAATATCAATATTACAGAATATACAGCCTCATGCTATATAACTAAGCTCCATTTCATGCTGAGTAAACTAAATTATTAATGTATCTTAAATAGAAAACTATCTTTAGATAGATTTTTACTCCAAAAGCATTTTATTCAAATAAATTTGATAAAAATAAAAAAAAAATCTGATTTTAAAAATAAATAAAATCAGATTTTTAATTTTTTTTTTTTCTAAATCAATTTTTATCCACCCTGCTTTCCCCTTTAGCCCCTGCATTACCTGATCATTGTTAGCTGTGTTTTGGATAGGTCACATTGAAGGAGAAATAGGCCTTGTGTGCTGAGCCCTACGACTGGGGTAGGCAACCTTCAGTGCTCCAGCTGTGGTGAAACTACAAATCCCATCATGGGTCCATGATACCACAAATCTCCTAATTCACTCCCTGGTCATCTCTCGCCTCAACTACTGCAACTCCCTCCTCATTGGCTTACCTTTTACATAGGCTATCCCCCTTCCAGTCCATCATGAATATTGCTGCCAGGCTCATCCACCTTACCAACCGTTCAGTGTCCTCCACCCCTCTCTGCCAATCCCTCTACTGACCTCCACTCAGTGTCCTTCACCCCTCTCTGCCAATCCCTCCACTGGCTTCCACTCAGTGTCCTCCACCCCTCTCTGCCAATCCCTCCACTGGCTTCCACTCACCCAACGAATAAAATTCAAAATACTGACAACAACTTACAAAGCCATCCACAACTCTGCCCCCAGCGACATCACCAACCTGGTCTCAAAATATCAACCAAACTGCTCTCTTCGATCCTCTTAAGATCTTCTGCTCTCCAGTTCCCATGTCACCTCTTCCCATGCTCGCCTCCAGGACTTCTCCCAAGCTTCTCCCATCCTATGAAACTCCCTACCCCAATCTGTCTGGCTATCTCCTAATCTATCCAACTTTAGACAATCCCTGAAAACCTTTCTCTTTAAAGAAGCCTATCCTGCTTCTACCTAGTAAACCGCCATTTATTTCCTCCATCAGCTCATCCCCCACAGCTATTACCTTTTGTATCACTCAACCCTTCCTCCTAGATTGTAAGCTCTAATGAGCCGGGCCCTCTGTTTCCTCTTTTACCAATTTGTATTGTACCTGTAATGTCTACCTTCATTTTGTAAAGCGCTGCAAAAACTGTTGGCGCTATAGATATACTAATATAAGAATAATGGGTCTTCCTGTGGGAATCATTTCTGCGGCTCCCAGTCTTGCAATTCCTCTTGGGACTTATAGTTCCACAACAGCTGGAATGCTGACCTATACTATTGATTTAGTAATGCTGAAAGGAACAGCATCACCATCCTGTACGCCGGAAGACGTTCTGCTTTGGACTTTTTTTTTGTTTTTCAAACCCGAAGTGGAAAAACATGTTTTCTCTCTGGGAGATCCAAACAGATTATAGATAATGGAGGAATAAACTTGCCGCGTCAAATCGTACAAAACTCTCAGGGCTTTCCGCTCGTTTGCCAAATTGCCCGATTGTATAAACTTGGCAAAGTACTATCGCGGTGTCCATCACAGCGCCATTCACAAGTGAAATCCTCCATATGGATCTGATTACAGGATAATTGTTCAGGCCTGCACAGAACAATGGCTCTATTCAGGCTCCCTCTTCTTCGTCTGCCGTCTACACACTCTCTGTACAGACTGACGTCACAATGCTGAAATAACTGGCATCAAACTGGAAGAGAACTCTGGAGACTCGTCAAGCTTCAATAGTGCTTATCATGTACTAGAAGGGTCATGAGATCATATGTGATAAGACCACTTCAGCATATAGAAAGAGAAGTGTTGGATGTTATGAAAGTGGAACCCCCCCCCCTTCATTTTTTTCATCATCCTCTAACATGCATGGTTATCTTCAGAATACATACTCGCCTGCCCAGCAAATCCGGCATTGTTTCTGCTGTAATCTACTGCCACAGCGTGAGTCCGCATCTTCCTATCCTATATTGTCAGGAGCCAGCTTTCCCTTCCAGGTTCTTGCAGCCGGCCCCCAAAGGTGCACCACTACGTAATGGGAATATCCCAGGAGGCTGCTGGAGCAAGACATGTCATTCTTGTCTAGGAACAGGTGTATAGAGCTACTACCTCCTGAGCCATTCTCCGCTTCCAAGCCATGGCTCCCAGCCATAATGGTTTTTGAATACCTCCAATCTTCAGTGAGCAAAAGTAAAGGCTGGAGCAAGTGTAAGTCTGCTAAAACGTACAGTCCTTTATTAATAATGGTGACAAACTGTCATAAAAATCCACCACGTTTCGGCCTTCAGGCTCTAATCATGATTTAGGCCTGAGGGCTCCTACCTTCTGAGCCATACTCCGCTTCCAAGCCATGGCTCCTAGCCATAATGGTTTCTGAATACCTCCAATCTTCAGTGAGCAGAAGTAAAGGCTGGAGCAAGTGTAAATCTGTCACCATTATTAATAAAGGACTGTACGTTTTAGCAGACTTACACTTGCTCCAGCCTTTACTTTTGCTCACTGAAGATTGGAGGTATTCAGAAACCATTATGTCTGGGAGCCATGGCTTGGAAGCGGAGTATGGCTCAGAAGATAGTAGCCCTCAGGCCTAAATCATGATTAGAGCTTGAAGGCCGAAACGCGGTGGATGTTTATGGCAGTTTGTCACCATTATTAATAAAGGACTGTACGTTTTAGCAAACTGCCATAAAAATCCACCGCGTTTCGGCCTTCAAGCTCTAATCATGATTTAGGCCTGAGGGCCAAAACGTGTTGGCTTTTTATGGTTGTTTGTCATCGTTATTTATAGAGAACTGTACTTGTGGCCATTCTCCTCTAGGTGGGAACAGAGGTATGGGGTTGGGTTGGAGGAAAAGAAAATTGTTGTTTTTTTTTATGTTTCTATATAATGCAGAGAGGAAAAGTAAATTTTTGGAGTGAAGATCTGCTTCTCTTTTGTTCACTGGAGGACTCAACTTCTGCTTGAGATCAACATCTGCTGGCTATAATGCCACCTGAAGGTGGCATTATAGCTGCGGGCTAGGTACATCCAGTGGGGCCCAGACGGGTGGCCCCTGCTGATGGCCAACTACCCCCTCACCCCACCCACACACGCTCAAATATAGCTCAGTTGTAGATGAATCACATCTTGGCTGGTTCAGCAGTGGCCAGGTGAGATTTGAACCATCTATGGGCAGGCTGGCTGTACTTTAGCCGATCCTTCGATCGACTTAATTACATCTAGCCTGTCAATTTTTTTTTCCTTTAGATCACTACCGGTAGCCTATTAGGAAGGAAGGCTCCCCGTCAGCAGAACAGGATAGCACTGCAGGAGTCATGCCCTCATCAACACACTCAGTGAACAATTCCACCCGTGGTGGAAGGAAATACAATTGTATCATCATGGGCATCAGCAAGACAGAGGGAGGGTGCTGTGTCCTCCATGAAAGCAGAGAAAAGGATTTTATGAAGAGTACAGAAAATTATTTGTTTATACGGTTGTCACCAGAATGCTCTCTTCACGATGGGGTGACTACTAAAAATGTTAGATTTCTTTATGTTCAGTTCAGGTTACAAACAATTTTGAAATATAACATGCTATTGAGTACCTGACATCTCAAAGTCCAACTTTAGGTGTACTCCGTGAATGGCACTTTACCAAAAACTTGAGCACTCAAAATGTTGTCATCTGGCCATGTAGCATTTCTGCTCACTTTTTTTTTTTTGTTTTAAGTTTTATTTTAATATTGTTCATTGTATTTTTATTTTCTACTTCTTCTACAGTTGCACTATAAAGTCACTTCAGCGACGACATGTCTGTATCAGCCGGCTGGAGAGGCCGCAGAACTGGGGGGAAAATTCTTGCGAAGTGCGGTTTGTCATCCTTGTTCTGGCTCCTCCCAAAATGGTGAGTGTTTTTGGTGGGGGTCCAAACTATATGTATTATAAATTATATTTTTTTTTCCATAGTCATCATGGTGAAACCATTACCCAGGAAGGCCCCAGTGGACCAAATGATCAGTTTATAAAATGACCACATAAAACCTCAGAATAATTCCAAAAACAATTCTCATTATGTAGGAAAAAAAGTAGCCTTTTTGGGGTCCCGGTGTCTCCAAAAGCAGGTCAGTAGAAAGAATTAAATGAAAGTACCTGTTGGTGGCCAGTCTTCCTCGCCATGCTAGAGCTAGGTAGGAAAACCAAAAACACTTTCCTTCATGACTCAATAGATCATTGTCCTATTACCGTCTTAAACAGAAGCTGTCACATGTTTAGAACCGCTTCATCCCATAGGCCCCTGCAGTGTTATGGCTCAAGGCTGCTCCAATGTACAACATTGTAATCCTGGCACTCATGGTTTTGCACCTCTCAATTCTGAGTCTCATCTTTTTTTTACTTGGAGATGTTATGTCCCAATATTTCCTATAGCAAGGGGAACTCCCCATCACTTTGGCCCCCTTTAGTAGAAATGATGACTATGCATTTGGATATCAAATAAAGAGAAAAGACCCCCTATAGGACTTGGGACTTTGAAGGCATAAATATGTACCCAAAAAAGTTAAGGGTAAGGATACCCAGTATGACTCAGTTTGACTAGCCATTAAAAATGTTGTAACATCACCATCCATACCTATGATCACAGAGAGAGTTTCTATATGATCCAACGCGTATTAGAGTGACTTCACTCCTTCTTCAGGGAAAAAGAAGACCTCTTCATATGGGTGACATCATCTACAAGATTGAACATATATTTGTTTGGAACACTTCTTGTATCCATTACAATATTTTACAATTTACAATCTGTACAGGAAAGTACAATACATGAAAGTGCTGAAAAAATAGTTGAGTTTTCAACCCATTTAAAAGAAATGGTACTTCGAAATGCTGCTGCCTCATATGGTTGGAAGACCGGCTGAACTTGGACGTAATGGAAACCCCCCAGGCACCGATCACAAGTGCACACCACAGGTCACTGCAATAAATAGCTATGCAAATAAGTAGGAACACATTATATGTCAGGCATTTCCAGAACAGCCCACCGCTCTCTGACCTCTACCACTTTACAAAACTCTGGTTTGGACACATCTTCAGTTCTGGTCACCAATCCTCAGGAAGGATGAGCTGGAACTGGAGAGAGTCCAGAGGAGGACAACAAAGCTAGTAAGGTGACTGGAGGACCTCTGTTACGACAACAAGCATTTAACCTATTCTCCCTGGAGAAGTGACCCTTGAGAGGAGTTATGATAGCAGTATACAAATACCTCAATGATGATTCTAGTATAGGGGAAAAAAACTTCCATTTTAGGGAGCTTAAGAAGACACGTGGCCACAATAACATTTGAGGAGATGCGGTTCAACCTTTAAACTGCATTGGGAGTTCTTTACTGTCAGAGTGGTAAGGATGTGGCATTCCTTTCCACAATCGATGGTGTCGTTGGGAAGTTTAGATAGTTTCAAAGTACTCTTAGATGGGAAAACCTCAATATACAGGGAAATGGTAGTGACAAACCCACACCCCTACAGGTTGAACTGGATGGACCGATGCCTTTATTCAGCCTTATACAACTCTGTGACATTTGTACCTGTTTCAAAATGCATATTTATTTTAGTTGTTTGATATTTGCGTGTTGTCTTGCATGAACGTCCCCTTTCAAATTCCCCCACAAGATTTAAATAGGATTCATTTCAGGGCTTGGACAAGGCCAGTCCAAAACCCTCTGTTTCTCCTTTCTTAGCCATTCCTTTGCTTGTGTGTTTCAGATAATTTTCCTGTTGAAATAGACTTTCCTGGTAACCTTAAATTTTTAGCCAGATGGCCTCACATTTTTATCAAGCACACTTTGATTTGTTGCAGAATTTACAGTTGAATCGATGACAGTGAGCTGCTCAGGTCCTGAAGCAGCAAAGAAACCCAATTTTATAACCTTTCCATCACCATGCTTCACAGTTTGTATGAGGTTTTCCTGCCTGCCTTTGGTTTGCCCAAGATATGTCTATTGTAACCATGGCTAAACAATTCTGTATTTGATTAATCAGTCAACAGAACATTGTTCCAGAAGGCCTCTATGTAAAATGACAAACTATGATCTTCCTCTAATGTTCTTTCTGGACATTAAAAGCTTTTTTTTCCTGGCTCAATTCCCTTGCAGGTTAAATTGGTGCAATAATAAATACACCATGGCATTTTTTTTTGTCAAATTCTTTTCCATCCAAATAATTGTAAATCTTGTCAGTTAAATTGAATGTAAACCCTTACATGTACCCAGTGAAGTGACTGACCTCAGGAGATACACAGAGATGAAACAAACCCTCCTGCACAGGTTGTACCTGTTAATGGTTTATCTACAGTTTCTCTTCTCTACATCCATTTAAAGTCCTGAATATATATAGTTTTCTGAGAGTTCAGAATAAACAGGGCGGAGAGCTGAAGTTACACTCTGCAGAGCTTAGTGAGGAGAGCTCTGAATGCTGATTGGAGGAGAGAGACAACCCCCGCCCAAACCACCCCCCCTTCTCCCCACAGCTCACAGGAACTGAACTGAGGCTGTCAATCTGCTAGAGATCCCTCCCCTGTCTCAGATCAGGAGTGATTCATGCTGATAGCAGAGGACAAAAGCAGCAGACAGAAATGACACTTAGTCTTCCCAATTGAGACATGTACACTCTATAGAGGGATATGCTTTGTTCATATTTCATGTTTGAGGTTTACAACCACTTTAAAGTGACATTAAAGGCATTTTTTTTCTTTTTAAAATAACAAACGTGTCATACTTACCCCTCTCTGTGTAATGGTTTTGCACAGAGCAGCCCTAATCCTCCTCTTCTCGGGCCCTCGGCTTCTGCCTAGTGCCCCTACAGCAAGCAGCTTGCTATGGGGGCATCTGAGCAGGCTGCCCTTTGTGTCCATTCACACACCAAGTCGTGGCTCGGCCTGCCCCCTCTCCTCATTGGCTCACTGGCTGTGATTGCTAGCCAATGGCTCCCACTGCTGTATCAGCCAATGAGAAGGGTGAGTTCATGGAGAGCCAAGGGCTCGGGTAAGTATTAAGTGGGGACTGCTGCACTCATAAAAAGGCACAAAAGTAAAAAAAACCTTGAGTCTTTACAACCACTTTTAAGGAATTTTGTACAAATAAGTGCTAATTTTACCCATTGTTTGTGTTTTCTGTGCAATCTGGATCTCCCCTCATACGCTTTCTTCTTACTCAGAAAAGTACCAAAACTGCGACAGAAGTTGGACGGACGTTTGCCACAATGTTTTCGGACATCGCATTCAGGCAAAAGCTCTTAGAAACGAAAACTGAAGAGGAGTTTAAGGAGGCACTAGTCCACCAGAGACACCTCTTGACTGTAGTGAACAGGCATTCGGCAGTAATGATGGCCACAAAGTCCACAGCCACAAACCATTAAAGGTAAGAGTCGGCAAGCTTTGTCACATTGAAGTCCATGCCCAGATAAAATGTTTCTTTTGGTTTAGAAGAGTTAGAATCTCTGTTGGGCTCCTATTGCTATATGTGTGCCCATTGGGGAGATTTACTTTCATCCCCTGCCTCTGTGACACTGACAACAAGAAGGGACAGGAGATCTGCCTAATGCCCAGTCAGTGTCTTACTATAGATGGTCTTTGACACCTCCACCAAGACTTCTCAATTGTGGTAATGTGTGTACCCCTTAGAAAAGGCCAGTGTCTACCAAAGTTCTATAGTATGCATCTCTTTTGGGTTCCGTTCCATTAGGTATTTAATGGGTCAGTCCAACCCAAAGTGACATACCCCTTGGTGAAGGTGAAGCATTCTGGCTTAAAGCGACCCCTATGTTTTAAATGTCATGGGTACTGGGGACTGATCTCTCAGCCATAATTCCCATCTCTGTTCTTGTCCACTTGGGGGTTTGGGGTGTTTCCACCTAATATTGTGTGTTCCAGCATCACCTATCACAGCCGTTGTCAACTTACTTGATATAGGGTGGCCTCAAATGCGGCTCTTGACCACAAGAAAGGGCCACACATAATGTGGTAACAGACTCCATGCATGCTACAGGGGAAGATATTATATATATATTTTCCTTCACTGTCCTCGATTAGGCCCCAAGCAGGGGTGGACTGACCATTTGGGAACGCGGGCACTGCCCGAGGTCAGTAGGAGGCCCCATGAGATGCCCCTGGTACCTTTTCATAGGCTTTTTTGGGTGTTTGAGTGTGGGCGAGGACACAGGGGCCCCATGATCCCCTGTTGCCGGGGGCCCCATGAGTTGTCAGTCTGCCCCTGGCCCCACGGCAAGGAAAACGACTGCAGTAATTACTAAAGGGGCACATGGTGGGCACTAGGGACCTGTTGCATGTCCCATGATATAAAATGGACTTAAATTTCATCAGGGAGACTAGTAACTCCTAAAAATGGTAACTGAAGTGCAAAGATCTCTATCCCCGAAGATCTGGAATCTTTGGCCTTTGTGAAAGGGTAGAAAATTGCAACAAAATGCAGCCAGAGAGCCTTGTTTTTTATTATTTTCTGCTGTGTTTGTGATATCTTTTTGGCTGTATTTATTTTGTAATTTAGCTGGTTTATGTGAGTTCTATTTTTGTTTCTGTTCTTTTTATCTCCTTCTGGAGGATTTACTACTGTTCCCAAGCACCGGGAATCCCAGGCAGGTCTGCCACAACTCCCTCTTCCGTCTGCTGGTCTGTGTCCGAGAACCGTGGTCGGACTATCCTTGCTAGCTACAGGGGGCTGGCTGGTGGGTTCCTTGGGGGCGGGAAGTACTTGGCAACTGTGAAAGCAATA